TTGTTGGTACCCTGTGTTAAATATGATCAAAGAAGGCTATGAACATAAATCTGCATTGTTAATCCTTTTGGTATTTTATTTAAAAAATTCACAAAATCTAACCTTTAATTGGAGAATACGAATTTAAAATGGGGGGAAATATCATTATGAAATAAATGTTTTTTTCTCTAATACACATTGGACACAATTAACGGTACCCTTTTATTCAATACTTTTTGAAACCTCCATTTGCCAAAATAGTATAGGAGTTTTCTCCTATAATGCCTGATGAGGTTAGAGAACACCTGACAAGACATCAGAGACCATTCCTTCATCCAAAATCACTCCAGACCCTTTAGATTCCCAGCTCCATGATGGTGCTTCTCCTCTTCAGGTCAACACACTCATTTTCTATATGGTGCAGGTCAGGGAACTGGAATGGCCAGGCCAGAAGCTTGGTTTTGTTCCCAGTGACCCATTTTTGTGTTGTTTTCAAGGTTTGTTTTTAGATTATTGTCCGGTTGGAAGATCCAAACATGGCCCATTATAAGATTTCTAATAGAGTCTGTCACTTTTTGATTTTTTTATCTGTTGGTATTTGATAGAATCAATGATGCCATGTGTCTAAACAAGATGTCCAGGACCTCCAGCAGCAAAATAGGCCCATAACATTAAAAATACAGCAGTATATTTCATTGTACACATGTGGTACTTTTTATCCCTGTGTTCACCAAACCCATCTTGAGTGTTTGCTGCTAAAAAGCTAATTTTTTAGTTACATCTGACCAAAGAAGCCAGTCCCATTTGAAGTTCCAGTCGTGTCTGACAACTAAATATGCTGGAGATTGTTTTTTGGTGAAAGAATTTTCTTTTCTTGATTTTTTTTCTTGAAGCCCTCCCAAACAACATGTGGTGATGTAGGTGCTGTTTGATAATTTTTTGAAGGTTTTCGGACCCCGAAACTCAACCTTTTTCTGCAATTCTCCAGCTGTGATCCTTGAAGAGTCTTTGGCCACTCAAACTCTCCTTCTCACCGTGCATTAGGACGATATAGACACTAGCGTTGGGCGATGTCTACAAAATTGGCATCGGATGATGTCTACAGTGAAACATCGCGATGGACGATGACATCGGACGATGCTGGCTCAACATCTTGAAGTCTATCAGCTATAGGCGATGGACGATGACATCGTCTATCGGCCCAACCCTAATAGGCACATGTTCTCTTCCAGGCAGATTCATAACATTTCTGTTGATTGGAACTTCTTAATTATTGCCCTGATGGTGGAAATGGGAATTTTGACTGCTCTCGCTCTTTTCTTAAAGCCACTTTCTAATTTGTGAAGCTCAATTATCTTTTTGCTGCACATCAGAAATATATTATTTGGTTTTTCTCAGTGTGATGGGTGATTAATTTGGAATTTGGGCTTTGTTTTCCCTCCTATTTATATTTCTGTGAAACAGGAAGCCATGGCTGGATAATTTCATGTTCATAATCACCCTGGTGTGCTCAAAATTGTGAATATGAATGGGAATATATTTCAGATATATTTTACTCATAAGAATTTCTAGGGGTACCAGTAAATGTGTCCAACGTGTATTTGAGAAAAAACATTTATTTCATAATGATATTTCCCACCATTTTAAATTCATATTCTCCAATGAAAGGTTAGATTTTTGTGATTTTTTTTTAATAAAAGATCAAAAGGATTAACAATGCAGATTTATTTTCACAGCCTTCTTTGATCATATTTAACAAGGGTACCAACAATTCTGACCATGTGTGTAAGCTATTTAATTCAATTTGAAGGAAAAGGGTACTCTTGTCTCCAGGTGGTGTCCGTTCATGCACTACCAGGATTGAGAGAATTGCAGAGACATCTTGTGGGAGAGGAGGAATATTACACATACTAGTTTTATACGGGCATGCAAATTATTTTGGAAAAAAATGCTTGCAATGCAAGTTAATTTGTTTGTTTGTTTTTAACAGAATAACTATCTTGTGTTTATGGCTGAGCTCTTCTGGTGGTTCGAGGTTGTTAAGCCGCCATTCGTCCAGCCTCAGGTGCTGGAAACTGAAGGTAGACTAATATTACAATAGAATGTATTTCCCAGAATTATTAGCCAATGGTGTTTATGTTTATATACTGACACATTTGTCTTGTCCTTTATAGCACCAGCCCCTTCACTGAAAAATCTGCCATCTGTGCCCATCTCAAAAGTCACAAAGAGAAGTTTCATGGAAAGACCTCCTAGTCCGGACAGACCAAGGTATATCAAAAGTCTCTTTTATTGAAAACTTCCCCTTTCTACTTTATTTACTTTGAATGCCTGTTAAAATTCAAATGTAAAATTGGATGGATATTCATATTTTTTTATGTTCATGTTAAAGTCTCCCTCTCCGACCTCAACCACAGAATTCAGGCTCAGGTAAAGTTAAAAGACCTAAAAAAATTTTATGATAACAAAATATAAGTTTTAATTTGAAATGCACCCAGTACTATATTAGTTATGTGTGCTGTACAGGTGAGATCAAGCGATCAACCTCAATGTCATTTGTGGAAAGCTTCATGGGTACTTGGCCCAAAGAGAAGAAGTAAGTGCAAATTAATTTCATTATTGAGAATTAAAGACATCGAGTTTGAAACTACATGCCATTGGATACCATCCTCTCTTCTTTCTCCAGGTCTGCTGCTCAGGGAGTGTCCTTTGAAATCCCATTTGATAAAGAGAGCACCAATCAAACACCCACTGGCCGAGGGATGACTCGGTCTGTCAGCACTGAAGGTTTTGGTTTCAAGATACCCCACGGCACCAGGGGCATCAAGAGAAACCTGTCCTTTCAGCCTGTCAACGGAAAGAACATGGGCATCGAGGAGGAAGGCTGTCCTGACAGCCTGTCAGGAAACCATAATGGCCGTCTAAATGGCTCAGGGCCACCTAGCATCGAAGAGGCTCTTGAGATCATCCACAACTCAGAGAAGAAATCTCAGAGCCCCAGGGACCATGCGCCCAGTGAGGGCTTCTTTCTTCACCTCCAGAATAAAAGTGAATTGAACCCTGAAGCAAAGGATGGGGAGCTAGTCTCAGTTTCAGAAATGTCCAAAGGGGTTGCTAGCACATCCACCACTGAAGTAGACACCGGCATACATGTGCGGACGGAGGACATCCAAGAGACCCTAGATGAGGACTCATCCCTTAGGGATTGTACTGTCAGTATGGAGCTTGATACGGATCAAGACTTTGAGGCAAGAGCTTGCCATAGCCAGGGCTCTACAAGCCCATGTCCCAGCAGCCTAAGCAGCAAGTCCCCTGCCGGAAGCGCCCCTGCTTTTACACCTGGGATTAAGATGACCAGCTTTGCTGAGCAGAAATTCCGTAAACTGAATCCAAACGTGGAGGCCAAAGCTGCTGCATCCCAAAGCACAGCACCAGACAGTTCAGATCTCGGCATTCCTCACTCTGTTTCCTGGGCTCCTTCACCTGAGGTCAGCCCTGCACATCAGCCATCCAAGGATCCGGCCCAGGCCATGGCTGCAGAAATGGTGCAGCTGCGCATGAGACTTGAAGAGAAGCGTCGAGCCATTGAGGCTCAGAAGAAGAAAGTAGAGGCTGCTTTTACCCAGCACCGTCAGAAGATGGGACGCAGTGCTTTCCTCACAGTTGTCAAGAGGAAAGGAGTAGATGGCACCTCACCTTCTCAAGAGGACACTCCCAGCTCAGAGGGAAGCAAGACGCCAGCGGAGACACCTCAGCCCATCAAGTCTCCGGTGAAGTCTGCGGGGGAGGACGGTACATCCGAGGCGGACCTGATGGAATACACACGCTCCATTGAGAAGCTCAATGCTTCCCTGAGCTTCTTGCAGAGTGAGATGCAGCGGCTGGCCCAGCAGCAGGAGGTAATCATGCAGATGCGGGAGCAACAGGCTTGGGTTGTGTCGCCAACTCAACCTTCGCCACAGAAGCAAGTGCGAGAGCTCAGAAGGAGTGGGGCACGCTCTTCAGGCTCTCCCTCACCTGCAGATTCTCCTAGAGCTACGCACCGTTCTCCTACAAACCTTAAGAGGAAGTCTGCTTCTTTCCATTCCAAGACACCAAGGACACCCAGACCCAGTGAGCTAAAGATCACTCCTTTCAGCCGAGTCCTGACCGTTCCACAGTCTGTGGACAGCATACCACGCTTGAGAAGGTTCTCCCCATCTCAGTCCGTGTCCTGCTCATTTTCTTATTTGGGAAAAGAGAAGAAACCACCATCAGGAGCTGAAGCCACAGACAAGGACATAGAACAAGGCCTTGAGTCATTGTCAATTGAATGTTCTGCTGGTACCATCACCTCCCCAACCAAAGAAACCCAACAGGCTGTAACCGAAGACGCTGACTTGTCAGCCAAGGAGCCAGTAGATAGGGGAGAGGAGAGCAAGATGGAGAACAAACCAACTGAGGAAAGGGAACAGCTTAAGAAGCCAACAAATGCGATTAAGCCGGCTGTGGAATCTAGTGTGTCACAGATTTTGTCGCAGATTGTAATGGAGCCCGTCATTGTCACTCCTACTGAGCCAGTTGACATCACCCATCAGACCAACAAAAATTTGATTGAGGTTCCACTGTCTGTTCTCAAGCCCCTGGATGGACAGGCGTTGAAAGAGGAAGGCGAGAAGGAGACTTCAGGGGAAAATCTAGACGATGAGCAGAAAATGTGCTGTGGATTCTTTTTCAAGGTAGATATGAATGTCAGAGGATCCTTGTCTTAATCTGTAGATTAAGAAACCTCGTAAATAAACTCTACTACTACCATATGTGAATACTTAGTGGTGAATGCTAAGGCAAGTGTCAATATTGCTATAGCTTACTGTTAGCAGTTTGAACTTAAAGGGAAGGTTCACCCAAAAATTCAGAACACGAATTAAGATATTTTAATGAGATCCGAGAGCTCTCTGACCCCCAGCAATGTAACTACCACGTTGAAGGCCCAGAAAGGTAGTAAGGACATCGTTAAAATAAGGCGCTTTCGCACAACATAGTTCTAGGAACTAGCCAGCATGGAGAACCAATTTCTCCCTCAGGCCATTTTCCTGGTTGCATTCGCACCGGCAGCAGGAACTCTGAAGCGGCCCAGGTGACGTCTTTATTCATGGCATTTACAAACATCAACCGATGAATGGAGGACGCCACATTCAGATTTGTTTTTGATGTGTCTCATGGGTCTCGTGATAATGGAGATGGAATGTAAACACACAATTTACGAGATTAAAAGAGCACAAAAATCAGACTAAATCTCATATGACAACTTGCAGTGTTATCATCGAGACTGTGAAAAGAACAAAACGCTGCAGACAACAGGGAAATGCCGTTATTGGTATTTTCCATGTTCGTGGAGTAATTATGTTTACATGGATTTCCAGGTAGCTGGTGTTTCGAGCTAAATTGGTTCCCCCAAACTGAATTCCTTGAACTAAATACGTTCCTAGTTCCTGCGCTGCCAAGACGGCAAAAAGCGGGAACTTCCGCCAATAGTTCTAGGAACTATGAAAAGGTTCCACCGGTGCGATAGCGCCTATAGTCCATATGAACTTGGTTCAACTGTAATTTTATGAAGCTACAAGAATACTTTTTGTGTGCAAAAACAAAAAATACAGAAACAAAAATAATGACTTTATTCAACAATTTATTCCGCATGCATCCGCAGTACTCTTGTGAGCGCACGTCGACTGACACAGAAGAGAAGAAATTGTTGAATAAAGTTGTTATTTTTGTTTTCTTTGCACTCAAAAAGTTTTCTCATAGCATTATAAAATTAAGGTTGAACCACTGATGTCACATGGACTATTTTAACGTTGTCCTTACTACCTTTCTGGGCCTTGAACGTGTCAGTTGCATTGCTGTCTATGTAGGGTCAGAAAGCGCTTGGATTTCATCAAAAATATCTTAATTTGTCTTCTGAAGTTGAACGAAGGTCTTACGGGTTTGAAACAACATGAGGGTGAGTAATTAATGACGATTTTCATTTTTGGGTGAACTATGTCTTTAAGGTAATTTACGTGTTAAAATTAGGTGTGATCAACTCTTGTCACACACCATTTGGTAACATGAATGCTAACTTAAATTATATGGTTTGTTGAGGATATGTTCTTGACTTGATGGCGAGCTATGTTGTCTTGGGCCAGCAATTAACCACCTAGAGAACCTTAACAATAGCCTAGCAATTTGTTAAAACCACACAGAACAACTTAGCAAACAGCTAACAATGCTCTAGCAGCTATCCAGAACACTTAAGCAGTGTGGTGGCAAGTGCCTGCTACATTTTATTAAGAAACTTTTAAAAATCTAGCTGTTTTATCTGTTAAGGGCCACAGTTATAACCCAAAATGGCGTATTATCATAGCTTTAGCTCAGGAAAATGCTGTGTGACTATATAACATATTAAATTATTTTTAGTCGCAGAAGGAGGTTAGCTTGGGACAGATCCCTAGAAAATGCAGCTGTTTGATCTAGGTCAGAAAACTAAGTCAAATAAATAATTTATTTTATGGTGTTAGTGTTCTGCAGGGAGTCTGAGCAGTGTAGTGGATCTGGCTCATCCAGACTGGTCACATCAACATCAGTATATTGCCTTCAGTTTCCTTGTTCAGATACTTGATAGACCTGAACATAAGACATTAACAGAGATTCTTAATGTCCATTCTGATAATGTGTTCATGTTGTAAGGATGATATGAAGGAAGAGGATAGCATGGCCATAAAGCGAGCAGCACTTCTGGAGAAAAGGCTGAGAAGAGAACGGGAGAGCCAGCAGAGGAAACAACAGCTGGAGGCGGAGCTTGAGCAAAAGAAAGAAGAGGCCAGGTAACACCCAGCCCAGCTGTCAGTCACTAAATCTAAACTCCTCCCCCTCATTCTTAATTACAATATTTGTCTTTTTCCACAGACTGAAAGCAGAGGAAGACCGCATGAAGAAGGAAGAAGACAAAGCCCGACGGGAATTTATCAAACAGGAGTACCTGAGGAGAAAACAGCTGAAGCTTATGAAGGACATGGACACGCTTGTCAAACCGCGTCCTGCGGGGGCCAAACAGAGGAAACCACGGCCCAAGTCCATCCACAGAGATGTGATGGAGTCCCCCAGGACTCCTGTCAGGGTCACGGCAGGTAAAGGGCATCCCCTACTGGCAAAGCCCGGCACTGCATGCTTTGTGCTACTCTCAGCCTTTTCCTGTCCAGCTCACTGCATCCCTCTGTATTTCCTTCTAACAAGTACTCTAGATCTTTACTTGCTCTAAATATCTATTCTAACCAATTTATTAACTTTCTAACTAATTTCAAAGTACTCTTTTGAATTAATTTAACCAATCTGGCTGAATTCTTTTAAGAATCTTTCAAATGACACTCTTTTGTGTGTGTTTTAGACAATTTGAAGGAGTTAGAGAGACTGTTAGCAACATTATTGCAGAGAGCTGTACTGTTATGAGGGTAACACAAAGTTTGGCGGGCTTGGTGTTGTCTTGTGTAACTGTGGGTCCTGTCCTGTTTTGTGTTTTGCATCCAGGTTCACGACCTCGTGTTTTTTCAGTTTCCAGCCTGTCTCTGGCATCTCTTGGAGATAATGACAGTGTCAACTCAGATAAGAAAACACAAAGGTAAGAAGCACTTCAAGCAGTCAGCAGAATGAGAATATGTTTACTTCCTTGTTTCCCTGCAATTCTATATATTTCTCTAGCTTTACTGTACAATACTAACCCAGTGTCCTTTGAATTCTCTGTATTTTTTCCTTCTTGTTCTTGAATGTTCTTGCTTCTTAGAAGCAATAGCTTAGCATCTGGCAGTCTTTTCTTCTTTTTGAGCTCTCCTCGTGTGAGAAATAGAAGGTCAGTCCTAGTTAAGAAAGACTCTTTGCGCTTCCATCTTCTGTTCAAGAAGAACATCCTGTTTTGCTTTGAGTTCGGCAGCAACACGAGGAACGATCCCCCATCTTTGAACAATAAAGATGGCTACTATAGCTCACCCATCACAGCTTTTTTTGTTTCATTTTGTCATTGTTAAACAAGCAAAGATTTAAGGTCACTTACCCTTTACACTGGCACTGAAACTTCAAAAACACAAAAATAAAGATCTGCACTTCACACTTTTGCTAGAGGCTTATTTAGAAGCTTCCATAATGTTATTAAAATAACTGTTTTTTAAATTAAACTTCTTAATACATGTTGCTGGTCTTAACATGCATTTAATATTCTGTTGCTTTCTCCAATACGTCACATTAAAAGTATTTTATTTTTGTTGTTTCATTTGATGCTGATACCAGGGAAATTACATGCATAAAAAAATATTATTTATGATTAAGAGCTTTAATTCAGTCACTGCTTGATTTTGCATGAGAGCAGTTGTTGTTAGTAATGTATCAGAATCTGATGGATTGCAGGACTCAGTTTTTCATGTCATCCCAGCAGGCCTGACTCAGCAGACGGTTGCCTGTCACCCACTCGCTCCAGCAGCCGTAACGGAGAGAAAGACTGGGAGAATGGTTCAACCACATCCTCACTGACGTCCAACACCGAATACACAGGTTAAAATACTAACATTTTTCACAATATTTATTGGCTGCGGCTCTACCTCCAGTCCAGCAGAGGGAACCTGTATACTGTCTACATCTAAGCTTTTCTAAATGACCAAACGTTTGAACATACTGAACACCCCCAGGACTCCTGTCAGGGTCACGGCAGGTAAAGGGCATCCCCTACTGGCAAAGCCCGGCACTGCATGCTTTGTGCTACTCTCAGCCTTTTCCTGTCCAGCTCACTGCATCCCTCTGTATTTCCTTCTAACAAGTACTCTAGATCTTTACTTGCTCTAAATATCTATTCTAACCAATTTATTAACTTTCTAACTAATTTCAAAGTACTCTTTTGAATTAATTTAACCAATCTGGCTGAATTCTTTTAGGAATCTTTCAAATTACACTCTTTTGTGTGTGTTTAGACAGTTTGAAGAAGTTAAAAAGATAATACCTTAATTGCAGAGAGCTGTACTGTTATGAGGGTAACACAAAGTTTGGCGGGCTTGCTGTTATCTTGTGTAACTGTGGGTCCTGTCCCGTTTTGTTTTGCATCCAGGTTCACGACCTCGTGTTTTTTCAGTGTCCAGCCTGTCTCTGGCGTCTCTTGCTGATAATGACAGTGTCAACTCAGATAAGAAAACACAAAGGTAAGAAGCACTTCAAGCAGTCAGCAGAATGAGAATATGTTTACTTCCTTGTTTCCCTGCAATTCTATATATTTCTCTAGCTTTACTGTACAATACTAACCCAGTGTCCTTTGAATTCTCTGTATTTTTTCCTTCTTGTTCTTGAATGTTCTTGCTTCTTAGAAGCAATAGCTTAGCATCTGGCAGTCTTTTCTTCTTTTTGAGCTCTCCTCGTGTGAGAAATAGAAGGTCAGTCCTAGTTAAGAAAGACTCTTTGCGCTTCCATCTTCTGTTCAAGAAGAACATCCTGTTTTGCTTTGAGTTCGGCAGCAACACGAGGAACGATCCCCCATCTTTGAACAATAAAGATGGCTACTATAGCTCACCCATCACAGCTTTTTTTGTTTCATTTTGTCATTGTTAAACAAGCAAAGATTTAAGGTCACTTACCCTTTACACTGGCACTGAAACTTCAAAAACACAAAAATAAAGATCTGCACTTCACACTTTTGCTAGAGGCTTATTTAGAAGCTTCCATAATGTTATTAAAATAACTGTTTTTTAAATTAAACTTCTTAATACATGTTGCTGGTCTTAACATGCATTTAATATTCTGTTGCTTTCTCCAATACGTCACATTAAAAGTATTTTATTTTTGTTGTTTCATTTGATGCTGATACCAGGGAAATTACATGCATAAAAAAATATTATTTATGATTAAGAGCTTTAATTCAGTCACTGCTTGATTTTGCATGAGAGCAGTTGTTGTTAGTAATGTATCAGAATCTGATGGATTGCAGGACTCAGTTTTTCATGTCATCCCAGCAGGCCTGACTCAGCAGACGGTTGCCTGTCACCCACTCGCTCCAGCAGCCGTAACGGAGAGAAAGACTGGGAGAATGGTTCAACCACATCCTCACTGACGTCCAACACCGAATACACAGGTTAAAATACTAACATTTTTCACAATATTTATTGGCTGCGGCTCTACCTCCAGTCCAGCAGAGGGAACCTGTATACTGTCTACATCTAAGCTTTTCTAAATGACCAAACGTTTGAACATACTGAACATAATTAAATTTTAATGTATCCACCTTATTCTTCAACGCAGAAGTGAGCCTATGGGCGAGACTTACAGTTCATTAGCCGAATTAGAAGAATTACAACATGCAATGTGTTCGTAATTAAGATAATACATTAAAATAATATGGTAAGACACACCAATTTGCAATATCAAGCAGCAAAACGAGCAGTTTTGTACAGCTAAAAATAGCTGGACGCGGATGAGACCGGAAGCAAGACCCATAAAATTCGCAAATGGCCGCGCCCCTTTTTACAGGAAGAATAAAGTGGATAAAACATGCTCAGAACTTCAGGTGACAGCTCCCTCTAGAGGACTGGAGGTTGAACAGCAGACTCCGAAGGTACAATAACTTTTATATTGTGTTATGACATTACATAATACCACCTCTTTGCTGCAGGTCCCAAATTATATAAGGAGCCCAGTGCAAAGTCAAATAAGCATATAATTCAGAATGCTTTGGCACATTGCTGTTTGGCTGGCAAAGTCAACGAAGGACAGAAAAACAAGATTTTGGAAGTAAGCATGTCCATTTTACAATTATTACTACTATTATTATTTAGTAATGATATTTTATTTAACAAATAAATTAAATGAATAAAAAAACAATACATAATATAAATTTAATTTGTGCATTTAATTAAAAAAATGTATTAAAATTGTGTAATGTTGAATAGTTTTTTTATGTGTTAATTTAATTAATTAATTTTATTCCCCCCATTAAATTTATATTATACATTTTATTCATCATATTTATTTGTTTTCTCAAGGAAATGGAGAAATCAGGGGCCAACAACTTCCTGATCCTGTTCCGAGATTCCGGCTGCCAGTTCCGCTCGCTCTACACCAACTGCCCTGACACAGAGGAGATCAACAAATTGACCGGCATCGGTCCTAAAACCATCTCACGCAAGATGATCGACCGCCTCTACAAGTACAACTCCGATAGGAAGCAGTTCAGCCAAATTCCAGCCAAGACCATGTCGGCAAGCGTCGATGCCATCACGATCCACAGCCACCTGTGGCAGACCAAAAAATCAGGAACGCCGAAGAAAGTAGCGGCCGTGAAGTCCTAGTGTTTCTCGACGGCAGACGTACACAATCTCAATGCACTTGTTTGTACATAATGGAATCCTACAACACTTTTTACACTCTTCCGTCAGTTGTCGTTCGGACACACAAGATTATGCACAACTGGAATGTAAAACTCTATGGGGTGGCAAATGGATCAAACTCATGTGAGACTGTGTGATTCAAGTTGTTTTGCTGCACCGCGTACGTGTTGTTTTTATATAAATGTGCCAAAAAAAAAGGAAAATAATGAAAAGTTGTCATTGATGACCTGTTATTTTAATTTGGTACACTAAAGCACTGAATGTTCTTAGTTTGTACAGAAATCTCGCACATATGTTGACGTGTGGCCTTATGTTGCTTTTTGTCTATGTTTTTATTTGAATGATTTTTTACGACTGTCCTGATACGATTGTACGGCTGCTTATGGAAAGGTTCTCACATGCATAGCTTGTGATTATAACAGTTTAGTACTGTAAGGGAATCCTGTCATATCTAGTATACATTAACCAGTGTGCTAATGTGCAGTGAGTGATTTAGTTTGCAGGCCAAACCCACTTTTGATGGGTTTTAACATTATCTAATGGCATTGATTCACAGCAGGATTGTGAATTCATTTCATTCCGTTCCTGTAGATGTTTTTGCTTTTTTTATATATATATTTGGGGGGTTGGACCGACTGATGGAAATGTTCAGCATAATGATCTATTTAATCAATATTTATCTTTCATAAAAGGTCTTAAATAAGACTAGGGGTTAGAAAACCAAACCTTTCTGTCGGTGCGATTAAACAAAAATCAGGTGGACTGAATTGTTTGAACGATATTTCCATGGATGAAGATGAATAACATCATGTGCTGGAGTCATAATTATTTTCAAAATACTTTTGTACTGTTATGTATGCTTGTGGTGACTGATCGGAAGTATTTTCCTGTCCCGGGTCACACAAAAGTATTAAAAGCAGTTTACCAAATGATATATTTTCCCGGATTGTTGGAGCCATTTCCGTGTTTTGCGACTGAGGGCTAAATCGTTTGATTGGTAAATTATTTTAAATAATAAAAATAATTTATAAGGGGTTAAAACATGCCGCATTTTTACGCCTGGAGTCTGTGTGGCATTTTAAGATGTTACGAATCTCAGTCTGTTAGCATTTACCCTTAAAGTGTGATCATCTTAGTGAAATTTTGGTGAAAATATGAATTTTCGTTGGCGAAAAGGTCCATTGGTAACAGTGAAGCCATGAAGAAGTCACTGTCAAACCAAGCAGCTTTTTATTGGCCAAAGTGCAAAATTTGTGTGAATCTGTTGCGAAATCTGCAAGCGGTATTCAACTTAATTTCGCCAGCAAAAATTCGCTAGATTATAGTAGCTAAATGAAACCACACCTTTAATCCTTTTAAGGCAGAATGTGGCAGTATACGGGTAGAGGCTTTGTTGCCTGACAAAAAAAAAACGGCCTTCCTTTTGTGCCCTTTATTTCAGAAGGAATTGTAAAAACTGCAGTAATTTTTGGTGCTTGCCTCTCGAAACATAAAATTGCACACCTGTTCTCCCATTCCAACATTTCTTGAGTAGTTTGAGTGATGTGTCGGTGTTTGGAATGGAAATATGTGCACAGCCCTGAATATACGGTAGAATGGTACTACTGGAAACAAATGTTATTTCGAGCCACCAACAAGGGTTATTAAACTGTAAATGAGCACGATAGAAAACTGTACAGCGTGTGTTCTCTAATCTCTCCAGCACTCTCTCTCTCTCTCTTATTTTCTTTCAGGCGCTGTGCTGTCATATTGTTCAAGTAACATGTTCGATTTCAACTGCATTCAATAAATTTCGCATGGCCTCATGTGCAGCCTGCTGATTATTGTTTGACTTTAATGAATATGTAATAAAATGTCATCAATATTTGCAACAATGTAGCCTACTAAAATTTTTGTAGTTACTAGAAACACTGCACACTTAAATAGAAGTATGAGTGCTAGAATAATAATAAACAATTTTAGTAATTTAAGGATTTCTAGTACTCATAAGTGGCTAATTAAAGAATCACTCTTAAATATGTATGCCCATATGTCCTGTCAAGAGAAAATATTAAAAAATCTCTTGCATTATCCGTAAACACAGTGTTGAAGTAATCTAAGGTGTTTGTAGCCAACATTGTGGATTTTTTAGAACGTTTCTTCTTGAATTTTTCATTCCATCAACACTTTTAAAGCATCAATGATTCATAACTTACGAATGAGTATTTCATAATACTAAAATGGCTTAATTTGAGTTTGTATATCATTGTTCAAGATTCTAACAGCCTTAATGAAAGCGACAATAGATAATTTATCTCAGATCCTGAAAATAACTTAAAGGAAACAAAAACGTTCAAACTGTGACCTACGAGTGAACAATTAAGTGTATTGTATGACAAAGACTGTAACAGTCACTGAGTAGCCCATGTATTTTGAATAATGTTAAAATCGTTTAATCAGTAATAATTTGATTGTGTACTTTGTAGCGTCTGGACCAATCAAACACACAATATATATTTTGTTAGCTATATTTAACAAATACTCTGTAACACCCCTCAGTTAACAAGCCATACGAGGACCTATGGACCCTTCCCCCGAAATGCGTAACACCGCAGGAGGGCAGAACAGGCCTCTGGTTCCATGGCAACCAACGCTGATATCACTGGGTTTATTGCCTAGAGGAATGCGAAGCAGGGAAAATCACTGCATGTTCCATAGCAAGAGGCACAATGCACAGTAGAAATGGACTTTTCTACTAATTAATTCATAGGAAAACCTTTCTTTGAATGAACACACATATCCTTCAGGTCATCGTGTATGTTGTCTTTGATATTTTTAGACTATTCTATGCATGCTTATGATGGAACCCATTCCTGTCATCTTGCCTATATGTAATCCTACCATGTTTAGTATCTATGAATTCGCCTTCTGATGATCGAAACGAGCGTGTATATTATATATATTTATAATTAATTATAACTAGTTATGATTAATTATTGATATTTCCCTTATGAGCTGATTCGCTACAACTTACATATTTAGCTGCAGTGCGTTTGCAGAGAGAACCCGTCCATACGCCCTTCTGATTGGCTGTAATGAATCCCATTATAAATATATATTATAAAATAATTTAAATTGATATTACTATTATTTTTATTATATAATTTTACACGTACATTAAACTTTTGCCATTCTAAGACACAACTAAATACAAAAATAAAATCAAATGTAAAAAGTATAAAATAAAATAGTGTAAAAAAGTACAGGTCATCTTCTATACTACAACATCTGATATTTCGAGAAGGGTCTGGCTGCAGCTGGCGCTTGCACTCTCAGATGTGCATTCTCAGACTTGCACTCTCAGACACTTGCACTTCCGCTAGCGACGTCACTTGCAGTCTTTATTATTTTTTACAAGCATGAGGCAGCTGACAGGTGACTCACGACCGGAAGTTGACGTCACACGGTATCACTCAGGTGTGGGTTGGGTTAAGACTGTACTTTACTGTCGATGCGTACATGCCTTCTGAAACAATATACGAGAGACATTTATTCAGCCGTCCAAGAGCATTCCTGACATCTCTGGTGAGTTGATTTATGTTTTTGGGCGAGTTGTAGTAATATTTGTTTAGTCTAATTTAGTAGAATGAAAGACTTAAATACTTAATTAGGCGCTAGTCTTTCTGGTGTATATTAGTGTGTGTGTTCAGGGTTTATTGTGAATCCAATTGTGGATTATGCTTTCACTTTACTTAGACTAAATGTATTGATCAAGAGAAAAATTAATGAAAGAAGAAACGACAACTAAATAGATGTACAATATTATATTTGCACTTTTAAAATGGCTCCAAAAAGTATTTGTACACTTAAAAATATCTAAATGTCATTACATTTATTTTTATGCAAAGTATCAAACCAAATTGCATAAATTTTTGAATAACAATAGCACAAGCACAAGTCTGAAGCATTTTAAATGATAAAACAATATATGTATTGTTCAGAATGAGGACGAAAACTATTAACTTTGTCATTGTCAAATGATGCTGCTCAGTTAATGTGATTAAATTCACCTTTGCTTTGGTTGATTTAATAGGACACTTGTGAGGACTTAATATATCTACTAAAAATCAGCAGTTGAGTAAATGTAATTGCAAAACTAACTCAGAAAAGTGATTTAGAAAAATCACTTTTCTGTGATATTTTGTTGATATATACACATTTTAAGCATGATTCCCAGTATTTTTGGGGGCCACTGTAATGTGTGACATATCACACTTAAAACACTGAGATAAACTCAACAGCTCCTCAAGTCCTGCTCAGACTTGCCTGAATGCTGGAAGGGAATGCTGCTTTTTTTCACGCCTGTCTGTTTACCCAAGTCTTCATGTGGTGCACTTACTCACTTACCTGCACTTTTAGGCTGAATACAATTTTTTACTGCCGTGGTTTGCAAAATATTTACTATAGTAGTGGTACAATTGCATTTTTGTTGTTGTTGTTCTACAAAGAGCTTTAAGCTTTAACTGATGCACGCCACCTCCAGCATTCACAATAATAAAGCGTATTTGTTTTAGGGAATTGAATGAACAAAGGCCTAACCCCATGAACTGGGTGTGTTTTTCCAACGTAAAAGTATTTCGCAATATAAGTGACACATGGAGTGTCATTGGAAAGCTCTAGGTTAATGAATCGCTGAGTGTTAGTTCAACCTGATCCACTTGAATACTCAGAAACCATTATCTTAAAGGTCAGTTAAAAAGGCCTATATTTATACGTGAAGCTGGAATTACAAGTTGTGCAAAGTGACAGTATGACATAACAGATATTAAAGTGATTTTATAGCTTTAACTTTTGTAATGAACACAACGTGTCATGAGGGTCTGTAGATGAGCTGTCATTGATATCACTTCCTGTTTCATGTTTTTTTTTTTTTTTTTTTTCTCTTTGTGCATTTTGTTTGTATCACATGACTTTGGATTTGGCAAATAAATAATGAAATATGTCAAACTTCTGGTTTACTTTTCAATAATTGCATTACTTTAATGAGGCTTTTTTTTTTTTTTTTTTTTTTTTTTTTTTTTATTTAGCTTCATTATCATATCAGGACAGCTGTGTCACCCTGACAGTTTTTACTTTATTTCCCCAAAAATATTACAAATATTTTTTTCTTTTTATTTTTTTTTTATCTTAGAAGAGCTGCATTTAAGTAATTGTATTTTCAAATTGAATTCAAATTTTATGATATGATAAATGTATAATAATTTTTTTCTACATTTTAATGAATAAAAATAAATAAATGAGTGCCTCTATTTATTATTTCAAAACCTTTTTAAAAGGTATAATCATTATTATTAGTTTATAGTTAATGCTACAGACTTATATATCAGGTAGGTAGCAATAATTAAGAATTTGATTGTTCAAATAAATAAAAAGCACCTTAATTTTTTTTTTTTTTACAGTGCTAGTGTATAAATATAAACATAAATATATATGTTGGATGACAATATTTAAGGTACTGTATGTACAAATTGCATTTTTAATCAATCTTTCAATAAAATAAAACAGTGGAATAAAGTGCCTTAATTTATAATTTGAAAACTCATAATTTGAAAATATATATATATATATTTTAGTAACACTATTTTATTAGTGCTGTCAAACGATTAATGGCGATTATCATCCAAAATAAAAGTGTGTGCTGTTTATATTTATTATGTATTTATAAATACACACACATGCATGCATGCATATATTTCAGAAAAATCATATATTTCAGAACAATGTTGTTTATATATCAAATATATTTTTATATAATATAAATTATATGAATATAAATATATACATGTAAATACATGTAATATTTTCAAAATATGTACTGTATGTCTGTGTATTTATACACTGAACAAAATTATAAACGCAACGCTTTTGTTTTTGCCCCCATTTTTCATGAGCTGAACTCAAAGATCTAAGACTTTTTCTATGTACACAAAAGGCCTATTTCTCTCAAATATTGTTCACAAATCTGTCTAAATCTGTGTTAGTGAGCACTTCTCCTTTGCCGAGATAAGCCATCCACCTCACAGGTGTGGCATATCAAGATGCTGATTAGACAGCATGATTATTGCACAGGTGTGCCTTAGGCTGGCCACAATAAAAGGCCACTCTAAACAGATTTGTGAACAATATTTGAGAGAAATAGGCCTTTTGTGTACATAGAAAAAGTCTTAGATCTTTGAGTTCAGCTAATGAAAAATTGGGGCAAAAACAAAAGTGTTGCGTTTATAATTTTGTTCAGTGTATATACAGAATAAATATACACACACATAAATTATGTAAACAAAAACTTTTATTTTGGATGATTAATCGCCATTAATCGTTTGACAGCACTACTTTTTATTATCATTTATCATCAAATACAGTTAATGCTGCACACTGTTGGCAAGTATGCAAATCTTGGCTGTGTTTGAAACTGTTCAAGTCTCCGAGCCCCGTGAGAATGTGAACATGTGGAGAGGCTCGTCCAATAAGTCCTTACTCAGCAATGATTCGATTGATGAACACACTCTTTAAAGGCATGAGTAACAGCAAACCTGTCTGCAGTGAAATGAATGATTCATTGGATTCATCCTGTAGGCCTGTACTTGACTAACCAGTAACTGTTTTGATTAGGCAAAGTAGAATAAAAAACCATGCTCACTTATTTTGCTGCACTCACATTTTCCTCAGAAAATCATGCCAGACTTCTATTTTACATGCTATTTTGTTCTATTTCACAGTTTTAGGTCATTATGTCTTGATCTTGAACTTTTGGATGTTGCTCAGCCGT